TAATCATAATAAATTAACATATTATGAGATACTGTGTGAAAAAGCACTGTGAGAAAACAACCCCCAAATGCTACCAAAAACAGATAGAAAGCCTGACAAAGAAGACTAACCTTCAGTGCCTTGTCTTTTAGTGCAGGTAACATATCCCTTGATGCTTCCTCAAGTGCAACAACAAAGCGTTCATACCTAACAAAGGTATTCTATAGGCATAAGAAGCTATTTCATTAAATTAAAGAATCCCAAGTATTCCAGTTGAAATTAAAAAGAAGGATGTGGAAGTGGAGAAAATATCAGGTAAAAATGCTTGTAATTAAGTAAACTCAGAAATTAATGTGTTGCATATTAAAAAGAATGTTGTCTTCATCCAGCCACAAGTACTTTGCTCATCGGAATTTGACTAAGAGAATACTTAAGAAGATCGATAGTTTCACAAGCTATTGCAATGATTCATTAATGCCAAAAGGAAGAAGACCAACTAGAATACCTCTGTTTCAAGCAATCTTCCCAATACCAGAAAAGTAAAAGCGAATAACCATCTTTTGTCTCTGGAAGATCATCTACTGGACATTGCAAAAGTGTCTTCAGCTTTCGATCAGGCAATAACCTAGCAAATGAAAGTACAAATGGTAAATGGCAGGCTCTTCAAACATGTCAATAGAGGAACTACATTAATATTAATTAAGTTAGAAATTTAAATGAAATGTAACATCAACACCAGGAACTCTCAGATTGAGTGATGTAAATCTTGCAGACTATCATTTTCTGTATTCATCACTGACTTCAAAAAGAGATTAAACATAAACTACATATTAAAGTAAATAAGCTACAGCCAGATGAGCCACCAATCTCTGGAAGACCTTTTAGCACATGATGATAGCCCTCAGACTTCATGAGGCCATTAAGCAACCATAACTATTCAAAAATATCACAAGACAGGAAATGAAGAGCATTTTAGGGGTAGGGAGAGAGACTAACTTTGAAATAAAAAGTTCTCTCAGAGCTTCAAACCCTGTAAACGCAAAGCGTTTTCCAACTTTTGATGTTACCATTCCTGCAGCAGACAACATACAGTTTCATTTAAAGCCAGTTCAAGACTCCAGCAGGTCAATCAGGAAATGAAAAATTAAAAGTGTTTGCATGCATTTTAGGCTTTAACAAAAAAAAAAAAAAAAAAAAAAATCCTAATCAAAGTTCTTGAATGAATATTCACCTTCCCTAAACGACGTACAAACAATTTTTTCCCCTTGAACATTAACCACTAATTAACCTTTAATTATACACAAATTAATTTCCCCAATATATAAATTCCTCGTTAGCAAGTGTAGAACTCAACCAGCTCCTCCACGGACCCCAACTGAGCGCCATCATTCTCCAGCATCCACAGCAGGTGCTCGAACAACACCACCTCGCAAGAAACCACCACTTCCCCGTCGTCAATACCGCCGGACCGGTCCACAAGTTCTTGGAAGAGAGGGTGGCAGATGACTTCAGACCCCACAAGGTATCTCCGCCGTGACTTCCCCACGTAAACCGCATGGACCACTTCCTTAGGCTCAGAATCCACAGCCGCGATGGCCGCGCTACTGTTGGCCCGGCTGAGCTTCGTGAAAGATGGCCACCTTTTCATGGCTGACTTCAGCTTCTTTAGTTTCCCAACTTCGGCCATGAATTTTTGTGGGATTTTTGAGAAATACAAAGAGGAAGAGTATTGCTGCCAAATTAAGCTTTGCTGCTGAGAGCTATGGAGACAAAAAATTGAAGGGACGTTGTTATATAGAGGAATTAATGGGGGCATGGCAAATAAGCATATGTAAACATGGCCCACCGTTTGATGTACACCAGCTAAGAATGAGATATTTAGGCTGCAGAAGCCAGCACAACCTTGTTTGGTTTTTGGTGGGGTTACTTTTAATTTTTTGAAGAAACTTGATTTTGTGTGTTCTTACAAGAATGCCCTTGTCTATTTTTTTAATGTGATTTTTGAGGGTACAATATAATTAGCTTTTATTCTTTACAAATAATAACTGAATGATGCACATAGCATCAAAGGAGTGAATTCATATCGATTGATATACTTTTCGCTGAGTGAGTAAATTCATTATGAATTATTGTAAATCACTTAATCAAATTGATTGGGAAAAAAATAAT